GGGAGGAGAAGAGGAGGAGGAGGCAGGAGGCAGGAGGCAGGAGGAGGAGGAGGAGGAGGAGGAGGAGGAGGAGAGGGAGGAGGAGGAGGAGGCGGAAGAGGAGGAAGAAGCCGCCTGCCCGAGCCGCCATCCTCCGCACAGGGCGGTATGCTGGCGACTCTCGAACGGCTGCTACGCGCGCAGCCCGTCCGCCTTCCGTTGGCAGCCGCGCCATCTCATTACTGCATTATGCCCATGAGCCGCCATGTTCTCATCAAAACTATGGTTTGTCGACCACCTACCATGGGACTAGATTCAAAATTTTGGGCCCCGCTCGGCAATCGTGGCGACGCTGAGCCTGGAAGCCCCCATGGCACCCCTATGATTCTGCGAACTGACGCTCGTGGCGACCGAACCTGGTAGCCCCAATGGCACATCAGGATTCTGCGTGCTGGCGCCAGTGGGGTCTGAACATGGAGCTCGAGGGTGCGTGGTGCGTCCGTCGTGCTCGGCTGTGCTCGCTGCGTTCACCAGTCGCCCCCGCGCGCCGCCAGGGAGAGGGTCTTGTGCAAGGGCATCGGCCGCCCCACCGCTGCGGGCCTCGCTCGGACTTGCAAGGGGGGCGACGGGGCGAACGTCGCAGCCCCTCACCAAGCCGTCTTCAGCAGCACCATGTGCGAGGGCATCGGCCACCGCTGTGAAAACCCGCTCGGGTTTACAAGGGGGCGTCGGGGCGAGCGACGCAGCCCCTCACCAAGCCGTTTTCAGCAGCGCCATGTGCGAGGGCATCGGCCACCCCACCGCCGCGGGCCTCGCTCGGACTTACAGGGAGGGCGCCGGGGCGAGCGACGCAGCGCCTCACCATGCCGCCAGGGGGAGGGTCGCGCGCGAGGGCGTCGGCCACCCCACGGCTGCGGGCCTCGCTCGGGCATGCAAGGATGGCGACGGGGCGAGCGTCGCAGCACCTCACCAGGCCGCCAGCAGCACCTTTCGTGTGCGAGGGCATCGGCCACCCCACCGCCGTGGGTCTCACCAGCAGGTGCCCCCGCGAATTGACTCGAGGGGGCCTCCAGAAACGCCGCGACAGCCTGCTCCTCCGCGACGGCATGGGGCTTTGGCGAAAACCGCTCTGGGATCAACGGTTCGCGCGAGGTTGGGCCGATCTCCCGCGCGGATCGACCCGCGGCACCCACGCCCCCATGTTGCGCAGCAACGTCAAGAGCCCCCGACATACCGTCCAGCCCCCGCGGCTCTCTGTTGCCACCCAGTCCAGCGGAATGCACATCCCTGGCCACCTGGGGACCCAGCCCAGTGGAGTGCACTTCTCTGGCCACCTGGGTCAATAGCTGTGCAGACTGGTAGCTGTCCATCACCGTCGCGCGCGCATGTGCCTGGCATCTCTCCCTGGAGCGGTCGCGCGGCTGCCCCTGGCCCGGGGGCGGGGTTATAGAGTGCTCAGAGAATTGCCCCCCGCCCCGCCCTGACTGATACGCCGCCCCCCCAGCCAGCTGCGGACCCGCCCGCGTTGTCCCGCCAGCAATGGCGCGTTCTCAGAGCCGCGCGCCGACGGCGGCCCGACGGCCCGCGGCGCGCGGGGAACCCGCGGGCACCGCAGACGACCTGCCAGCCAGTGCACCAGCTTCGGCAGGGCTATCCTCGGCACTGCAGGCGTACTGCCAGGGCTCGCTGGCGTGACCACCACGCTGCTGCGGCTTCGGGCCCCCCCCCTGCCGATGGCGAGCTGGGCGAGCGTCTTGCCCGCCAAGCCGCCAGGGGAAGGGTCGCGTGCGAGGGCGTCGGCCACCCCGCCGCCGCGGGCCTCGCTCGGGCTTGCAGGGAGGGCGACGGGGCGAGCGTCGCAGCACCTCGCCACGCCGCCAGCATCACCTTCCCGTGCGAAGGCATCGGCCACCCCACCGCCGTGGGCATCACAAGCAGGTGCTCCAGCGAGGTGACTCGATGGGGGCCCCAACAAACACCGCGTCAGCCACTCCGCGACGGCGAGGGGCTTGGGCGAACGCCGCTCTGGGATCAACGGTTCGCGCGAGTTTACGCCGATCTCCCGCGCGGATTGACCCGCGGCACCCGCGCCTCCACGTAGCGCGGCACCGTCAAGAGCCCCCGCCATAACGTCCAAGGGAATGCACATCCCTGGCCACCTGGGGACCCACGCAGGAATGCACCTCTCTGGACGCCTGGGTTGGCAACTGCACCGCCCGGTGATTGTCCGTCGCCGTCGCGCGAGCCTGGCATCTCACAGTGGAGCGGTCGCGTGGCTGCCCCTGGCTCGGGGGCGGGGTCATGGGGTGCTCAGAGAGCTGCCCCCCTCCCCGCCCTGGCCAATACGCCGCCCCTCCAATAGACTGCAGACCCGCGCATGTTGCTCCACCAACGACGGTCCGTTCTCCCAGCCTCGCGCCGACAGCGGCCCGAGGGCCCGCGGCGCGCGGGATGCCCGCGGGCACTGCGGACGACGTGCCAACCACTGTGCCAGCTACGGTAGCGCTCTCCTCAGCACTGCAGACATACTGGCGTGGTCCGCTGGCCGGACCCCCGCGCTGCCGCGGCTGCGGTTTGCCCCTGCCGATGGCGAGCTGGGCAACTGCCTTGACCGCTTAGTCGCGCGCGCCGAGGGTGTGATGAGCACATCTGGCCGCCGCGTTCCACGCGCCCACTTCAGGACTGCACGAAGCTCGGCGCCCAGAGGGTCGCCATCCCTGGCCGCAATTGGACTGGGCCCTCTCGGCTCAAATATCGCTGCTTGCGCTTGCCGACTACGTCGCGTCGTCCAGCAAGCTCCTCCACCACTCCACTGAGGGCGAGGTCCACACGCCACCGCAAGTTGTGGGAGGGACTCTGCCTGGTCGATGGAACTGCGCACCTGCCCCCAGCCCTGCCAGGGGAACCGCGCGCGCCCCGCGGGCAGCGCGCGCGGGAAGGGCCGCGGCTCATCGAGCACACGGGCGAGCGGCGCCCCCGCGTGCCCGGCCCATGCGATGGCGACCGGCCGACGGGGCCAAGCGACGTCTGTGGCAGAGACATCGACTATGCACCTGACCCCGTGCAGCATCGGCCCGTGCACCAATAAGTAATCAAGAGTGGTGGCAGGGACAGCCTGCGCGCGGTCGGGCCCGCGCGGGGCGACGCGCGCGGCGGTCGCCAGGTGGAGCCAGTCGTGCTCCAGCAGCTCCTGCGGCGACACGTCGAAGTCACCGCCGACGATCCAGGCCAAGCCAGGGCCCGCAAACCACACGCTTCACGCACTGCACGACCTGCCACGCGATCGCCAGGTCGCGCGGCGATCTGCCCTCACCCGCGCGAAGGTAGAGGGCCGCCACGAAGCCGCCAGGGAGAGCCGCGTGCACGCGCGCCGCCACGGCTCGACCATGCACGATGACGCCATTGTCAAGCAGGGGCGCCTTGGCGACTGCAATGTCGGACTCGGCTAAGACTGCAACGCCACCCTCTGAGCCGCCAGCCTGGGTGGCCAGGTGCCACGCACCGCGCGCCTCGCCAGCCGCGCCCTGGGCATCGCCCTGCACCTCAGGGAGCTTCACCGCGCACGCGCGGCGCTCCTGCTCCAAGACCACGTCGCTGTCGCAGTCGACCAGATAGTTGGACAGGGTGCCAAACGAGTTGGCATTGATGATGGTAATATGCGGTTTGCTTCTCATCATGACCGGCGATGCAGTTTCATCGAGCTGCTCGTGACGTCTTGACCACCTTCCACTTGGGTTTGGCCAGGCGGATACGCTTGACCGCGGCGCGGAGCTCATCTTCTGAGGCATCAGCGGCATGTGGGATGTCAGCACTAGACTCACGCAGGGCATCCAGAAGCTCATCCGCTGTGGCCTGGTTGACGGACTCCTCCTCCTGGTCCTCGTCGACTTCCATGGCAGCGCCGTGCTGCTCTTTGGCTGCCTCGGCGGCGGCGGCCTCGGCGGCCTGCTGGCCTGAGCCCGCTGCTCCTGGAGCTGACGATGGTGGCGAAGCTTGCCCACCACCGCGGCCACCTCCCGCTGGAGGTCAGGAGCAGCGCCAGCAGACAGCAGCACCTGCTCCAGCTTGGGCAACGTCCAGCTGCCCTCGTCGGCGCCAAGCTCGGCGCCAGTAGGCCCCGTGGGCGGCTGCGGCAATGCCCCACAGAGCAGGGCCAGCTGGCCCTCGAGCTCGAGCAGCTGCTTGCGAGACTCGGCGAGCGCGGCATCCTGCGTTGCGATCTCCGCCTGCAGGGCCACCAGCTGCGCCTGCTTGGCCTTGCGGGCGTTCTGCTGCCTGGTGGTTTGCTGCTCGACCTTGGTGATTTCGAAACCGGGAGCCTTGAGCCGCTGCGAAGGCGGCTTCTCCTGGAAGAGCTGCGCGCGCAGCTTGGCCTGCTCCGCCTTCCACTGCTCCACCAGCTTGCAAACCGCAGGCGTGTCGATACCAGCCCGCTGCGTAACGAAGCTCCCCAACACGTCCAACCTCTTCTTGACAGCAGACTAAACACCGGCCTCTCCCTCGCTGCCCTCGGCACTCGTGGAACCCACCCCCGCCTCGGGAGACTTGGCCTTCGCAAGCTTGGGTTCCGACGTGAGAGAGCACACCTGCTTTTGCATCTCCAGCAGCTGCGCCGATATCGAGCCCGCTCCCCTGCCTTTGTCGCCGCTGGCCCATGGAGCCGTGGACCGTGATGGCGAGTTGGCTTTGACGGGGCCCCCGTGCACCACGCTCTTGGCCAGGCCGCAACTGCTACAGCACAGCTTGTCAGCGAAGTTGACGTAGGGCTTGTGATCGCTTCCGAGGCAGAATTTGCAAAGCCATTTATACCGACGCGCTGCTCGACTGCCTCTCTTCGCTCCAGCGGCGGGCGGCGCCATCGCTCCTCTATCACAGGCTCAGAAACTGTGCCCACGAGAAACAAGACAGCGGCCAGGACAGCCACTGGAGAGAAAATCTTGTACCAATGATTTGGCCTCAAAGCGCGAACCACCTCGCGCTCAGATACGCCCGAGAGGGGACTAGCAGTCGTCGGGCGGTTCATAGCCTTGAGCCGACATGGCTACGGATGTGTGTGTGTGTGTGTCTGTGTCTGTGTGTCTGTGTGTCTGTGTGTCTGTGTGTCTGTGTGTGTGTGTCTGTGTGTGTCTCTGTGTGTCTGTGTGTGTGTCTGTGTATGTGTGTGTGTGTGTCTGTGTGTCTGTGTGTCTGTGTGTGTCTGTGCGTGTGTGTGTGTGTTTGTGTGTGTCTATGTGTTTGTCTCTGTGTATCTGTGTGTGTCTGTGTGTGTGTCTGTGTGTATGTGTGTGTGTCTGTGCGTGTGTGTGTGTGTCTGTGTGTGTCTCTGTGTTTGTCTGTGTGTTTCTGTGTGTGTCTGTGTGTCTGTGTGTATGGCGTGTCTGTGTGTGTGTGTCTGTGTGTGTCTGTGTGTGTCTGTGTGTGTGTCTGTGTGTGTCTGTGTGTGTCTGTGTGAGTGCCTGTGTGTGACTGTGTGTAACTGTGTGTTTGTGTCCCTGTGTGTCTGTGTGTGTGTGTCTGTATGTGTCTATGTGTGTCTGTGTGTGTCTGTGTGTGTGTCTGTGCGTGTCTGTGTGTCTGTGTGTGTCTGTGTGCCTGTGTGTGTCTGTGTGTCTCTGTGTGTGTGCATATGTGTGTGCCTCTGTGTGTGTGTGTCTGTGTGTGTGTGTCTGTGTGTGTCTGTGTGTGTCTGTGGCTGTGTGTGCGTCTGTGCGTGTGCGGGTGTGGGTGTGGGTGCGGGTGCAGGTGCGAGTGCGGGTGCGTGCGCGTGCGCGGGTGCAGGTGCGTCAGCGGGTGCGTGTGCGTCAGCGTGTGCGTGTGCGTTTGCGTCTGTGTGTGCGTGTGCGTGTGCGTGTGCGGGTGCGGGTGCGTGTGCGGGTGCGCGTGCGTGTGCGCGTGCGCGTGCGCGTGCGCGTCCGCGTGCGCGTGCGCGTGCGCGTGCGTGCGTGCGTGTGCGTGCCTGTGGCGTGTGTGTGGCGTGTGTGTGGCATGTGTGCCTGTGTGTGCGTGCGTGTGTGGCTATCTTCCCCTCCTGAAAGGAGAGGGAGGGCGAGCAACAGCAACAGCAACCGCGGCCCCAGCGACCCACCACAGCCCTTCTTCCCCCTCCCGAAAGCATGCGAAGCCCCGCGGCCTGCCGGGCAGCGGGATGACCTCCCGGCCGTCGGCCAGGGAGATAGACTCGCGGTGGTCCTGAGCGGCTCTCTCAAGGGGGAGAGGATCTATGGATATATATATATATATAAACATAAATATATATATATATATATATACATATGTAAGGATACAATGGAGAAAGAGGCTTCTGTTGGCTCTCACACGTTTTCTTCGTCGGTTCTCGGCGGTTCTCCAGCCTCGGGATGCCTTTCAATGGCTGCGTCTCGCCGAAATCGTTCCAAAAATGTCCGGATCATCCCGAACGGCCGCCGGAGGCTCCGACAAAAATTGGAGCGGCCGGTTTGAGGCTATGTTCGGCCTCTGGGAGCCCTCAACAGGCCCCGGGGCTGTCAGAAAACGGCTCCAGATGACAAACCGGCCGCCCTCTAGGAAGTGGCCCAGACCTGCAGGAATCCACGCATCAAAAAACGTGGAGCGCCAGATGTCTGGGGAGAGAGAGGGCAGGATCGGATCAAATCGACTCGGCGGGCGAAAACGCCGAGAACCACGGCGCCGTCGAGAGGGGAAGGGAGGGAGGGAAAGGAGGGAGTAGGAGGCAGGGGGGAAGAGGGAAGGAGGCACTACGACCACCCTACGACGAGACACAGCTGCCTTCACGACCACCGCCTCGACGACGCGCCCACGACCACGACTGCCACGACGACCACCACGGCCACCACCTGCACGACAACCGCCACGACCACCACGACGGGACTCGGTAACCATCAGGACGACCACGACCACCACCACCACCACCACAACGGCTGCCACCACGATGACGCAACGACCGCCCCCCTCCGCCACCTGGCCTCCCTCTCTTCATTGCCTCCTGCCCGGCAGCCCCTGCCTCCGTGCTGCGGCTTCTGACGGCCGTGCAATGCTGCTCTGCCGACTGCCACCCTCTCGCCCGTCCTCCCCCGTCCTCAGTCGAACCCTGGATCTCCCCCTGCCCCACCCTCATCTTTCCTCCTCCACCTCCTCCTCCTCCTCGTCCTCCTGCTCCTCCTCCTCCTCCTCCTCCTCCTCCTCCTCCTCCTCCTCCTCCTCCTCCTCCTCCTCCTCCTGCTCCTCAGCCTCCTCCTCTTCCTCCTCCTCCTCCTCAGCCTCCTCTCCACATCCTCCTCATCAGAATCACCATCATCCTCATCCTCATCCTCATCTTCATCCTCATCTTCATCCTCATCCTCCTCCTCCTCCTCCTCCTCCTCCTCCTCATCCGCATCAGCAGCATCATCATCACCATCATCATCAACAGCATCATCACCATCATCCCCATCCTCATGTTCATTATCCTTCTCCTCCTCCTCCTCCGCTTCCTCATCGTTCCCCCTTCCCCCTCGTTCTCCTTCTCCTGTTAGAAGACAGGAACGTGGTAGAGCACAGCATGAGCAGGTAGCCACAGTTCGCATGCCCGCAGCGCTTGAGCCTCAAGCCAAGTCCAGGCAAAACAGTGTTTGCTTCTTTGATGACAGCGGAATTGTGGTAAAACGCATCCACGAACGAAACACTTTTTTGATTCGCGGGTCGAGAGCGCACCTCTTCCGGTCGAAGCTAAGCGGGCCGCGCGAAGCTTGAATTAACAAAGAGGGGGGGACAGAAGGAGAGGCCTCACGTCAAGGCCAGGAGGCAAAGCCTCGGGATCTGGCGGTGCCGAAAACGATGTGCTTGCGAAGGAACGCCTTGGACAAGAACCCGGTGGCGAAGTACCGGAAAAAACCACGAGCGAAACACATAACGATTGAAACACAGCATGGCTGAAACATTGCACAAGGAAAGATCGATACTGCACCACTCAGAGAGAACGTCAAGATGCCCTCGGGCAAAGATGTGGATTGGCCGGATGTGTCTGTTCATTTCAAAAAATACATATTCACAGTGAGTAGCGACATTTTGGAACACATAGAACTCGCTAGAACAAAACAATGTAAGATAATATTGTCAGACATGGCGATGCAAATTAAACAGCATGCGGCGAATTTGGTTTGGATGTTGGCTGGTCATGTCAAAGGCGAAAGTGTAAAGGTGCACCGCGAACTAACAAGGTGCAACGGTTTAGAGATGCGGCGAAAACAACTTTGCCCGATATGAGCCCAAAGACAGAAACACACAGAGAGGACTCATGACAACAATTCTGAAGTACGGTTGCTCTTCCGAACGCTTGGACTGCTGGCCAGAGAAACTGTCTGAATTCAAGGTTCTTGTGCAGCAGCACGATAATTTGGCAAGCGCGGTAATGTTCTGATGACGTAAAGGTCGCATTCACTGTTCAAGCAATGCCAGACCCAATGAAGGGACACTTTGAATTGAGCACAGAAGTGTATGCAACTTGTGAAGGCCTCAAACGAAAGATTACAGCTCTTGTCCAAGGGACGAGAGACCGGCGGAACCCTTGTTGCCAAATCAGGAAACGATTCCAAAACCATCCCCATGAAAGTCGACTCTTTAACGTCCAAGTGGGAAGGAAAGACAGGAAAACCAAAAGGGAAGGCAGGGAAAACAGCAGGAAAAGAATACGCTTCAGGAGGAAACGGTTGCGGAAAGAAGGCTGGATCTAGGAAAGGTTCCAGAGATGTCCCGCACGACTGCACCTGGGGACGCCCTGGCCGCGGATCGGGCAACGGGCAGCCTGGTTTCACGCGAGGTAGCCGAGGCCAATGGTCCAAAAATGGCCTGGCAAATCGTCCGGGAAATCGTCTGGCAACCAGGGTCCGCCATGATGCGACATTCGCAGAATGAGGGACCATTGGGAGGCAGAATGCATGTGCAACTCGAAAGGAAACCGCGGAGGAAAACAAGGCGGCAAAGGTGTTCGTTCAAACGAGGTCGACGGTTGTTGGTACGAGAATTATGATCACGGGTGGAACGAACACAACGCACACGGCCACGAAGAAAGTCATGAGGAACCAAGCCAAGAGAAACCCGTGAAGCTTAGTTTGATGATACCGTCCATGTTTTCTTTAATAGAAAACGAGCAAAACGAACAGGATGAATTAGACATCGAATCTGCGCCAGAGTCTACAAACGTATCGGAAACAGGGCAGATCTTTGAAAATGAGCGCGTCTGAAAACAAGAGTGCTGGAAACGATCGTTTCGGTTGCATGCGGGAGCTGATGTCATCCATATGTTTTCTTGTAGGCTTTTTCGTGGCGGGTTCCATGTTGAAGCCAATGGGAAGGGGAGCAGTATCAGGATGTATGACTGTCGCCACACCCGTGGCTCCGAGGTGGAGTTGGCGGAATCCCAGGATCGAGCCAGAGATGCCGACTGATATGTTTCATAGTATTCCGGATGCTGGCTCGTTTGACCACGTGTGCACTACAGATTTCGCCGCTCACATCAACATGGCGCCGCGTAGTGGCGTCAACGGCGTGACAGTTTCAGGGCAAGGTCTTAGCGCCTGGGGCATAAGGATGTCCCTCTCATGACGATTGGCTCGAACGCGAAATCCGTCTCCGTAGCGTTGCGATTCAAGGTGTTTGACAAAGCCTCATCAACCCTCATGAGCGTTAGCAGGTTGGCGAAACAGAAAACAAACCGCTGCAGCTCGGAAAAAAATCGCCGACCCAACGGGCCAGAGGCGCGCTAAGATCCCCAGTAACTTGTTAACAATATTTCTGGTTCG